CCACTAGAAAGATGCTGAATAAACAGTAAAATAATACTAGTGGAAGGAATGCTATTCAGGGCACCCACATGTTTTGACCTGGCCTTAATAATGAATGAATGAATGAATGATGCCTTGGAATAAACATCACTGGTATCAGTTATTCTAGCATGAAATCCAGAGGGGAAAATCTCTAGTCTTTGAATTAAGGAGGTAAATTGTATGTGTGTGTGGGAGGGGTAACAGACCTACATGTCAAAATACTTGCTGCTCTCTTAAAAAAAAAAAATCTTAGAAACTGCTTAATTTTGATTTAGTTTAGTCCATCTACCTTGCTCATATTGCCTACATACTTTTAAGTGGCATGACATCAAGATTTTCAGGAATCTATTTCTCCACAGACACAGATTCTCTACTTGAATTATCCCTTCTGTGTTCAGGTGAAAGCAAATGCTATTTCAGGTGATCACAGTCCTAGGAAAATGTTAAGGTCTGGTGTCTCTTTATTCAGGCATCTGAGTCCTTACCACAATAAACTAAAGCATGCCCTGCAGCACAGGGTATGATAAACACAAGGGTTTTGACATCAGGACATACAGTCCTGTTTCCACATGCTCCATGTAATTGGACAGCAAACAATGCTCATTTTCTTCTTATGATCCTCTATATTGCTGTGGAAATCTGAGCAAAATTGGGATAATTGCTACGATTACACTCTTAAAATTCCTAGCTCAGCAATCATGGAGAAAGGGTGACAAGTTCTTTGTGGTTTTTATGAAATGGAGGAAAACCTGAGATCGATAGTGGTCAGTCTAGCAGGAGGTGTCAGGTACTATAGAGTTAAATTTTTGAAAAAGCACATTTGTCAGTGAACTTCTCTTATATTGACAAATTTGAGGTAACTGTTTAATCTGCATTTGTTGGAAAGTGGCTGATTCATCTCTGGGCTCCATCGTGTGTGGCGTTCTAACCAGGCAGCCCACTACTTATGAGAAGAGACAACAGGGCAAAAGGAACACTGTAGTTGACTGGCTGCTGCTCCCTGCCCTAACCCTAAGGCTCTGTCCAGGACCAGACACATAATTTGTGGGGTTCATTGCAAAATGAAAAGGCAGGGTCCCTTGTTTAGGGCAGCTGCAGCAGAGAAGTAAATCAGGTGTGGAACCCTTCTAAGTCAGGGGGTCCCCGTATGACTCACAGGTCACAGGCCTGTGAGCTGGCTGCAACTCTGACCTTCCTAAATAAGAAGATGGGATGAGAAAGGAAGGGACCTAATCCTTCCCAGCATAATTTATAGCATGTGCCAAATGCTCACAGAAAAGGTAATGTTTCATTGAGGGCCCCAGGGTCCATTCCTCCTGCCCTTGGTCAACGGAAGACTTTGAGGCCTGGAGGGAATGACTCCCCTTCAGGACTCCTCCTAATCCTCAGAGTGTATAGCTTAGTAACTCTTATTCTGATGGGACTCTAATTATAAGATGCCACACTTTTCTTCATTATGCTTCACAAATTAAGAATTGCAGCTTTACCCCTTCTGAACGATTATGATCTGGGGCTGGTGATTTGTCATCTCTGAGCCTCAGTTTCCTTGTTTGTAAAATGGAGATAATACTGATCTTATGGAGTGGTTGTGAGGAATAAATTAAAGGATGGACTTAAAGTGCACAGTAGAGTTCCGGGCACATGGTCCACTCTCAATAAATGGGGTTATTATCGCTATTATTATGGGAACCCCTTGCTTTTGAAAAAGTTGTATGTGAGAGAGAAAAGTCCTCTTTGTGTGCAACCCTCTCAGGCCCCGGGGTGACAACTTGGATGAAGGCTTGTGCCACCCCAGCAGGCCTTCTCTGACTCCTTTTTTCCCAGCTTCCTCCAGCTTACCTCTTTTCAAATGTAGAATCTTTTGAATATGATGAAAGTCCACACGCTAACAAAGCCACTGCTGCCAGCAAGGTCACCCAAGGAGAGTCAGCCCTCCTCTGGGTGTGCAGAGCAACACGCATGCATTCAGACACTTTGGAGGCTTGCACTGCTGCTCTGGCCCTGTGTCCTTGCCTTCTCGGCCTCTTCCAAGCCAGGCTGAGGGAGGCTCTTGGATTCTTCACTCAGCTTGGAGGGGTTGTCAGGATCCGTTTGTGGGTGGGGTTGGTGACATCAGACCTTTTCACAGACCCTGTTCTGATTGTTGGAGCAGCTGGGAGGCACTAGCTTGATTTCTCTAAAAGATGGAGTCCCTGCTGGTCACCACTCTGTCCTCTTGCCTCATAGAATGGTGTGGAGTCGCTGGCCTGAGTCAGGTCAGGGCACACTTTGGGTGCAGGCTGGCTCTGTCTGCAACCTTTCTGATATCTGCATGTGCTCCCTGAGGATTGAGGGCATCTCTCTGACTGGGTAGACCTCCCCCAGCCCTGGGGCCCCACTGCCCCCAGGCCCTAGCAGAGTACTCTTTGTGAATCTGACTCTTCTGCCTCCAAATCCTTTGGGATGCAAGCCTTTTTGCCAAGAAGGAGGGCTCAATTTCAGCAAATGGAGTGTTATTTTCAATTATCTGCACCTTTACTGTGGTCTTGGAGCTGATGGGCGAGTCGGAGGACTTTTGGCCATAGCAGGTTGGTCAGAACAGAATGGAAAGCGTTTGTTGAGCACCTCCTGGGATCCTAGCACTGCACTGCTGTTATTTCTTCTTGAAAGGTGGGAATTACTACCTTATTTTTCTGCCAATGAAGAAACTGAGGCTGTTTCAGTATGTTGCCCAAATGCACATAGTTGATGAGAGGCAGAACTAGCACTTCAATAAAATTCTGACTCATGTTTCTCTCAGTAACTATTAATTGCCTCACCAGACTAGCATCCTCCAAGGGGAACCTTCATCCGAATGTGTGGGGCCTCAGTGTCCAGGCAGGCACACGTTCTGTACATGGAGGCAGGGACGAGCTGGGAAGGGCAGAACTTGGTGGACTGTCTGCTCCAGTAGCGTGGGCAGTAGTGGGAGGGCATGGAAGCCCCCATGGGGCTGTCTGCTGGCCCTTGGCTCCCATTAGAAGACAGAGTGAACATGGGGCCCAGAGCACCTTGGGTACTGCCTAAATGGGTAGTTTCCCCCGTGATTAGCTATAAGAAGAGAAGCAACTGAAAGTAAGTATCAGGATAGTAATACCCAGAGACATGGTAGAAAGAGTTTCATATTTCATGCAGCACATGGACTCAGGAAAGGTATACAAACTAGCTCTTTAAAAATCTGGATGAAGATCTGAGCCAGATACCCCATTGCATGTCCAACAGCATTGCCTTTCAGGCATCCTAGCACATGGGGCCGGGACTGCCTGGTGAGAGTCTTAAGGCAGCTTGGCACGGCAACAGGTAGGTGTCCTAGTAGACCTGGCCCTGCCACTGGGAAACAAGGTTCACTCTGCATGAGAAGAAGCCTCCCACCAATACCCACTCCAGAACCCTCCCAATGATGGGAGTGGTGTCCCAGGGCTCCTGATTTTTCATAGGGTGGGTGGGTTGGACAAGGCAACTGTCTGCTATAGATGGAAGGGCTGTTGTAGGTGAAGTCCCTAGCATTCAGAGGCTCAGGGCTTCAAGCAAGGGGGTAACACTTCCATTTTAACTGTCCCATGGTTATCCCAGGGCACTGATGAGCTTGGTAGAAGGCAGGAACATCAGTGGGGCTTAAGGACAACAGACAACTATCCCTGACCTCTTGGATTACAATAATCTCCCTGCTATACACACTCATACTATAAGGAAACTGGTATCACAATAGTCATGCGATTTATTTCATGTTTATTTGTGGGATTCTTTGAGTAATGTATCTTCCAGACCATGTGTTTTGCTCATAATTGAAGCCCAGTGCTTAGCACATTGCCTGCCCCATAAGCAAGTGCTCAGATAAATATTTCTCCAATGCATTAACAAATGAAAAGAAGTTCTGGAAATGCTAAAAGAGAAGAAAGTGCTTCACATATAGTTTAGTGCTGCCTTTCTTGGCTCTGCTGATTAAGTGCACATGACAGATACCATATTATCAGTGTTCCAGATAAGAATCCAGAAAATACTATCTTTTGCAGTGTCATAGAAGTACAACCTTTGTTCCTCTTCACTTGCTGGAAATAGACTTGTCTTTGAATGAGATGAGTCACTGGGGTAGGAAATATTTGCCCTTTTGCCCCAGCTCTGGCCTTATCAGTTACAGTTCCCCCACTGAAGGCATGACAGTCATTAGGGAAAAACCAAAGAAGGAAACATAGATCTTCAAGCTCTGTCTGCATGGGGATCGAAAGTCAAGGCAAATGTTTTCGGACACTGCCAACAGGAAGATTTGGAGGTTGTCCTTGTGGTTTGAGGCTAGCTTGACCCCAAATATCTGTCTATTAGCCTAACTAGAGGTTCACACATTTCTTTCTTTATGGATTTCTCTTTGGGCTAACATTTGACTCTTGAGAACCTCGTAATGGTGTAAACATTTTTTGGGGGTAAGGTGGGTGTGAAGCCATGAGCATCCTGGAAGATGGGTAATTTAATAAGTTAGCCAGATCTTACTGACTGATCTTTCAAGGGCCAGAAGGAAAGTGACAGGTAAGGTCGGAAGGAGTTTGGAGTGTAGGGAGTTTGGGGATGGAGGGAATTGGGAGGAGAGGTTGAGGCGGGTGGTCTCATGGAATATTCCTGTGGGGCCAACAGGAACTTGACAGAGAAATGTTGTCAGGGTGTCAGCAAATACTTGGGTAGGCTCAAGTCAGCTATTTTGAGGGGTAGTTTAATAAAGAGATTATTGCAAATGTGTGGTCAGGGTGTAGGTAAATGCAAGCACAGAGAGCCCTTGGGTCAAGCACTGCCAAGGAGCTAGCTGCCCCATCCCCAGCCCAGTGAGGCACCAGGGGAAAGCAGGGCATGGGCCCCGGACAGAGTAGCTATAGGAGAGGCCACTATAAAATGTGATGGATTGAAGATAGCCTAAATCTCTCTGTTACCCCTTTTATCAGTAACAGGGTCTCTATTTTCTCCCCTTGAATCAGAGGGACCTCTGATTGCTTTGATCAACCAGATGTGGTGGAAATGATTTGTGCCAGTTCACCGGCCCAGGCCTCAAGAGAGAGAGACCGGCAGCTTCCTTGCCTTCCTTTGGACCACTCACTTTGACTGGAGGAAGGCTTACTGCCCCACGGAGAGGCCCTCCTGGAGAACTGAAGGCCTTTGCTAACAGCTCTGACTGAGCCCGTCCTGACTATAACCAGACCACTTCACTTCTCACCTGAGAAGTGTATTCTCCAGCCGTACTGGAGCTGCCCCAGCTATGCCACATGGAGCAGGGGTGAGTTGCCCCACCAAGTCCCGTCCGAATTATAGGTTCATCAATAAAATACATGATTGTTGTTTTAAGCTACTGAGTGCTGGGGGTACGTTGTTACCTACTAATGGATACCAGAATGCACACATTGTGGCCACAGGATTGGGCACAGATAACCCACGGTAACCTGGCATGACATATGCTCTCCCCTGTCTCTCCCCCAACCTGCTCTTTTACTGCCATGACCTCCATTGGATGAACTCAATAAAGCCCGAGGACATGAACCTGTTGATGCTGTCCTCACAGGCCAGCCCCCTGGGAGAAGCATGAGGGAAGATCTGGAGGGACACACGGACGACACCCAGCACTGACATCAGGAGATTTGAAGTTGGTGTCATGGCGTTGATCCCATTTGATAAAACTCAGCTGCTCAACACAGCAGAACACAATCCTTAAAAGACAAAGGCCAGAGTCAATTTTGGAAGGTAGCCAGGTATATGTATGATCAATAAGCCAGAAAGGAGAAAAAATTTGCCTAAGATATTTCCTAATCAAACAAGTAGGCTGTAAAATGTGGTAATGCCTGATGAATGCTGGCCCCTCAGAAGCAGGGCTGTGGTGAGCTACCCCCTACCCAATTTCCTGAGCCATCGGAGCTGAGCCCTGGGGAGCCTGATGCCCACTGGAGGAACTGGCTCTGATTTATGTCCTATAAAATATTTGTGCTTCCAGGGAAATTGGAATAATCTGGCTAATGAAGGGAGCGAGGGTCATCTTCCTGGACCTGGAGGTTCCAGATAGAACAACTTGGGGTGATGGGCAGAATCAAGACTGGTGTTAGCTTGCTAGTCAGGGGCTGGTGGCAATGAACCCACTAGCATCTGGAAGACATCCTGGGAACATTGTGCAGGGAGGGAAGAGCTCTTTCAGATCTGCCTCTAGGTGGGCCACTCCCTGGGCTTTAAGGTCAGCCACAAAGCCAGAGCGGTGCTCACCAATGTCCAGCAGGAAATCTGCAAAACCTAGTAATTGGAAGCATTGGAAAACTGCCCTGGCTTAAAGGGAGGTGGCACCAGGACGTGATGGTCAGAGTTGGGGTTCAGGAGTCTAACCACCTGGATTCAGACTCTGGCTCTGCCTCTTGCTAGCTGTAGCACCTCATTTAGCTCTTCTATAACTCAGTTATCTCGTCGGTAAAAGAATGATACTAGTACATATTGTGTGCAGCTTTTGTGAAAGATAAATGCACTCATACTGTATCCTGAGGGGAACAGTGGGACGAAAAGGTTGAAAAGCGCAGGTTCTGGAGCCAGACAGCCAGGGCTTGGATCCCGATTTGCCAGTGACCATAAGGGATATAGTATGAGGCAAGTTATTTAATTTCCCTGTCTTGGTGTCCTCTTTTATGGGGGCAACAGCAGCACCTCCTGCATCTGGTTGCCATGAAGACTAGTGAGCTAATCTATGTGAATGACTTAGAGTGGGCGGTGCCCTGAGCTGTGAAGAACTTGGTGCCTGCTATACACCCCCACGTCTGGCACAGAGCGAGCCTGCAGCAGTGTTTGCATTCTGTTGGAAGCACAGTCTAGGGGGGAAATCCACACGCTCAGTTCCGATTCAACAGGAGATCCCAGACTGCTCTGCCTCCGGGGTGGTGGCTGTGCGGGTAGATGGGCTATCTGTTCCCACAGCTGTGGTCACACTGGCCTCTTTGGGCTTTTTGCTCTGCTCCAGTCATACCCACGAAAGATATTGTTCCCCCTCAGTGGCGCTGTCAGACACAGCAGGGCACAACGGGGCTGTCAGACTGTGGGGTGACTGATGGCTCTGGCCCTTCTGTCCTGGAGCCTGGTTGTGAAAAAAAGCAAATGAAAAATAGTAGCAATAAAGGCAACTCCTCCTGGTAGGCAGTGCCTCTTTGTTTCCAGGTAAATGGTGTGGCTTTGGCTTAAGACCACAGAGTCTGCAATCTGAGCAGTCTGTTTCTCTTTCCAGCTTCTGGAACCCACTGGTGAGACGGCTCCTTCCCTGTGTCTCCAGTGCACCCTTCCTAGGGCTCCTGCCCTCCAAAGGCCTCGTCTTGTGCCTGTTTGAGCGTGGCTGGCTCTGATGGTTGCAGGCGCATGACATGGCTGAGACACAGCAGCTCCACAGGACACCAGGCTGCAGGGAAAGCTTCAGTCTGGGCCCCGGCTGACAGGCTGCTGCAAAGTCACATTAGCATTTAAGCTTCTGGGGCCTCTTTTTGTAAAATGAGGCATGTTAACTGACTGGGGAGTATCCTGAGACCAGGAGAAGGAGCTGAGGAGAATCAGGTGGTGGTATTTATTGTGCTCATCAGAGCCTCTTTAAGAGGCTTAAGAATTTAAGGTAGGGAGGTCATCCTTGGGAGTAGCTCTCCTTCCTGCCTCTACAGCTTTCTCCTGACTTGACACCCCTGCCCTTTTCCGAAGACCAGGAAGAGTCTCAGGAATGGCTGCCCCTGGACTGGTAGGAGAGAGAGAATTCTGGGAAGAAAGCCTTTCAGGGAGCTTGGCCTGCTCTGGGATTGCACGGCTTTCCTTTCACGGCTGAGTCCCCGGAGAGCCGGAAGGAGGGCTGCCCGCGCCACCGCCCCTCCCCGCCCTGCCCCAAGCCATGCCTTGTTTCTTAGCTCTGCCCGTTCTGTGAGGGACCTTTCCTCCTGCGAGGCAAAGCTATGGTTCTGGTCTCAGTCTCGTTTACCATGTGATGAAAGCGGTGGTACAACGTATGGCAAATAGACTTACAATTTCCCAGATCCAACCAAAGAGCCTGACTGCCAGATACAGCCATCCCTGATAAACTGCGGTGTTTGCAGTAAAAATTTCAGTCAGCCACCAGAGGGTGCCCACAGAGCTCTCTGAAAATGGCCAAAACCTAAGGAATTCGAGGAAAAAGAACATTTCCAGCATATGTAAGACCAAGACAAAATCTAGCTCACTCCGACTGGGACAGATGCTCAGGCCAGCTAGGGAGCTGTAAGTTTGCTGGGGAAGGAGAGCCAGGATGGGAGTAAGAGAAAGTACCTGAATTTTAGCTAAACAAGTTGCTTCTTGATTTTAAATTAGCAAGTGCAATAGCACTTTGAGGATTAGCTCAGGGCGCATTTTCATCCCTTGGCAAAACTCCCTTCTCCACTCTTTCCCCAACTGTGTGTACAAAGGAAATGCAAATACATGTAAATATTAGCCTAAGCCACAGGCTTTTTGGAAGCTGTTGCGCTGCTTTAAAAAAATCCTCTAATGCAAGTGAAAGGACAGAGACTTTTCTGAGCCCGCTGCTCGGGCACCAAGAGCGCCAGCAAGAAGAATTGGAGAAGCCATGGTTCTCTGAAGAGACGGCCTTGCATGGGGTGCATCTGGGATGAGAGGAGCAGAGGAACAGCTCCTGCCCTCTCCCCAGCAGGACTCGGCATGAAGGCTGTCTGGCATCCCCAGATCTCCAGAGCCTGGCACCATGACTGACACACAGAAGGTGCTGTAAATGTTTGTCGAATGAATGAATGAATGAGGGAATGGGAAATGGAGTGGGTGGGACCCTGCCTGGACTGGCTGGGAGCTCTCACCAGGGTGAGGGGGAGATTGGCAAAAGGGTAGGTGGGGATGGGAGGGTAATTTTCCAGGGAAGAGATCTGGGTTGGGTCTGGGTTGCCTCTACCTCGGCCCTTTTCTGTGGATGTTCAGGACTCCAGAACAAAATGTTTTGACTTTGTCCAAATGCTGATCAAAATTCATTCACAGGGTCCCCTCATTCACAGTTAATGAGAACCTGATGTGGACTCTGGCAGTTATCCCTTGTCCCCATGTAGGGGAGCCCAGCCTCCCTTAGCCATTTCTTGGTGAACTGGGTCTGTAAGTGCTGGAAGAAGTGAGCACATTACTATTACTGGGCAGGGGCCTTGGCTCCCTGGAAACCCAGCCAGCTCGGAACTGGGCTTAGGCACTCACTGGGCAGTCAGGCCATTCAGCTGTCTGGACAAGTGTAGGCAATATGTGTGTATAAGCCGTGTGTGTGTGTGTGTGTGTGTGTGTGTGTGTATGCAAGCATGAAAGTGGGTTACAGTAAGGCCTTGCCTTGTGTTGGACATTGGGGTGTGTCGTTTACCCAGGCCTTTGAGGGCCGCCAGGGCCTCTTGCTGGTGCATATAAGGAAGAGAACAGGTGATTAACATGTGAATTTAGAAACAGCAGTACTCTGGGGACAGGGATCGTTTTCCTTAGGCTTCTGCACTTCCAATTCATCACAGAAAGAATCATGATGACCAGGGGTATAGAGTGGTCTCTACACATGCTCCCTTTCCAATACTTCTGCCTTGGAGTAGCTTTAATGATAATTTGGGGGGCCTCCAGATGAGTCAGTGTGGCTGCCTGACTTGGAGGAAAGAGGATGCTTTTAGGAATTGCTCTGCCCCTCTCCTCTCCTGCTCTTGGCTAAGTCTGTCCATCTAATCAGTACTGTAATGATCATCTTTTTCCTACCAGGCTGGGAAGTGTGGTTTATAGGGTTATGACCCTTTTGGTCTGAAAACCTCACACTGAGGAGGCACTGATTATTCCTGGGCCTTCTGTAAGCAGGGGCCCCACAGGGTTGCCCACACTGTGGGCTCTGTGATGACACAGGTGACGTCCTCCTCTAGTCCTTCCCCTGATTCTAACAGGTTGTGGCACAACACCGTGTACTTGGGGAACGTTAGGCCCAAGCTAATAGGAGAGGGCTAGTAGGACAGGGGTTTAACAAACCTGCTGTAGTTAAAGCAAAGAAAGTTCCTAGAAAGTTAAGCAGGCTCCTGAAAGAAACTTCCATCATATTGTTTTTATCCAAATGAGGTCTTCTCTGGGGAAAATGGAATCATTTTTGTTTTTTTAAAGGAAAGAAAAAGAACCTGAAAATTAGATGCAAAAGATGGCCTAATCCTCTTTGACTAAGCAGTCTGTCAAGAAAGAACTTAGAGCAGGTCAAAAGATTGCAGGGCCTGGGCACCAACAGAGAATATAGATCAGGGAGGGAACTGCCTATCTTACATACAATGGTCATAGACCAGGGTGAGGTTGCATGGATTTTGAATGCCATCTTGATCAGATACATAGATACAGTCTCTGCTATTTCCAAGAGTAAGCTAAGAAAGGAAGTCAGCTTTAAAACTACCACTTTGTCAAGAAAGAATAGGGCAAGCAGTATAAAGTTTACCATTTTCTTGGTCTACTGAATAGATACAATTCTATAAAACTCAACAAATTACCTATTATCAAACAAACTTATCTTGAAGTATCTATATTGTCTCAGGCCGTGAGACCTATATTCAATGGAAGAGATGATGAGGAATAAGACAATGGAACCTGAATTTCTTGCCCTCGAGGGGCTTACAGTCTAGTGAGGGAGGCAGCCAATGATCAAATTACTTCAGAGAGGCCAAGCTTTGCCCACCTCCTGTGGCCTCTGCAGTGGACAGTGTGCCATGCCACGGACTCTACCTCTCCTGCACTCTACCTGGGCTGGCGATGCACATCCACTGGCTGGTCTGGGGTCCAGCCCTTGGGTAACTCTAAGCTCTGCCAACCCAGTTTCTCACCTGAAAATCTGTCCCTGGGAAGCTAAAAGACAAAGTCAGCAGAAGCAAGCTTTAAAGTTTATGGAGACTGGGGGCTGAAGCACCTTGAGGAGCCATCCATGCCTCCTCGAGGGGCTTACAGTCTAGTGAGGGAGGCAGCCAATGATCAAATTACTTCAGAGAGGCCAAGCTTTGCCCACCTCCTGTGGCCTCTGCAGTGGACAGTGTGCCATGCCACGGACTCTACCTCTCCTGCACTCTACCTGGGCTGGCGATGCACATCCACTGGCTGGTCTGGGGTCCAGCCCTTGGGTAACTCTAAGCTCTGCCAACCCAGTTTCTCACCTGAAAATCTGTCCCTGGGAAGCTAAAAGACAAAGTCAGCAGAAGCAAGCTTTAAAGTTTATGGAGACTGGGGGCTGAAGCACCTTGAGGAGCCATCCATGCCCAGAGTGCATGAAGCAAAGGAAGCCAGTGGGGGAAGGGTGGCAACTCACAGAGAGAATGTATGTGACTCTTGGAGAGAGAGGGTTACTTCCCTTCCCAACCCTGTTTCCAACTTCAAAAGCAGGGGGCTTAATTCCCTACCTTTGTGCCCTATGAGACACATAGTTCTTTAAAATAAATGCCCCTCTTCCTGAGGTGAATGGAGTGAGTTTCTTTTTCTTACAATCCAAGGCTCCCCAATTTTAATTCAGAATGTTGTAAAACAATGTATTAATTTCCTAGGGCTGCTGTAACAAATTACCACAAACTGGGTGGCATAAAACAACATAAGTTATTCCCTCACAGTTCTGGAGGCCAGAAGTCTGAAATCAAGGTGGGAAGAGCACTGGTTTCTTCTGGAGGCTCTGAAGGAGAATCTGTTCTCTGCTTCTCTCTTACCAGCTGGTGGCTGTCACTAATTCTTGGCATTCCTTGGCTGGTAGATGCACTGCTCCAATCTCTGCCTTCGACTCTATGTGCTGTCCCCACCCCACCCCCCACCGTGAACAGGTCTCTGTAATAATCTGTTTTGGTCTCATAAAGCTACTTGTCATTGGATTCAGGGCTCCCCGTAATCCAGAATGGTCTCCTCCAGAGATCTTTACCTTCATGACATCTGCAGAGGCCCTTTCCACAAGTAAGATTCTGGGTGGATGTATCTTTTTAGGGGACACCATTCAATCGGTACAAAAAGGTACACATGTGTTTATTGCTGATTACTCGGTTGACCATGTAGTGCTTAATAAGCAACAAAGCAGGGGTACTCAGAGGCAGGGACTGATTTTTTTTTTTTTTTTGGAAAGAATTTGATTTAAAAAAGCAAAGTTCTTGTGGAAAAAGTTATGATTTAGGATTGTTGTAAATTCTAATTTCATATTGAAGTGGGAGAAAGAAATCATACTCTCAGTGCCCAGGGTCTCTAAATATGTTAGTCAGTATATTTAGTGAATTATAAATAGCTCAGGATGGTTGGAAGGTGGAACATGGGAGTATTTTTTTGTTTTTGGGTGGTCGTTTTATTCTGTTTTGTGTCATGTAATTGTTGAGGCCACTGGTGACCTCAGCAGGAGCAACCACTGTATTGTTAACATTGGTGGGTTGGGGGTGAGGATTGAATAAGGTGAGAAGATTGTTAGTGTGGAAGTCTTTTGCAGAAAGCTTGATTGTGAGGTGAGAGGGAGACTTAGGGATCTCAGAGATGTGGTCTGTGACCTTAGAAGGTTAATTACTAACCTGATGTTGGCCTGTGAATGCTACAATTAGCTTAGAACTTCTTAGGGATGGTATCCACTGATGATGTGTTACACAGTGCAGACTGGGCTTGCTAACCAGGCCCTAAGCATCCCTCCAGGTGCCCTCATGCCCTGGATAAAACAAGGCCACCCAAGAGCTTGACATGCAGAACACTCATGGAAACCTGAGGGTGCCATGCCAATGCCCTCTCTGTCCTTTGTATGCTGTTTTCCCCTGCCTGGATGTCCTTCTTCCTTGATAACCTACTTATTTTAGATGGAATATTCTGTTTGTTCTACCCTTTCCCCGTGAAGTTGCTCATTCTTTAGAACTCCCATAGCTCCCTTAAATTATGTACATAACACTTACCATGGTACTATATGGAATTCCTAAACTGTCTGCCTCTTCCATTAAATTGTTTAGATCAGAATCCCTGTCTTTTCTTTTTCCAGTTCTCAGCTCCTCACAGAGTGTGGGACATTCAGTATGGACTCAGTAACTGTTTACTGAGTAAATGAGTTTTCAATTGATATGTTACCATTCAAACATTAAGTGTGTGTGAGAGGGGCCACTGCTAGACATTAAGCAAAGGAATTCAGTCAGTAAAGAGCAAGAGGGAGGGAAACATGGCAGACTAGTTATCAGCAGCCATTACCCTCTTCCATTACTACTAGAATCCAGATTTTGTCCAGGTACACACCTTCTTCCAAGCAGCCACGTGCCTTAGAGGAAACTCACTCTTCCCCAGCCCAGGCGTGGGTCTGAGTGGTCTGAAGTTAATCACATTCCTGTTGCGAGTGGTTGATCTGGGAACGGGCATATAGCATCTCACCCGATTCTGGCCAGTGAGGTACAGGAGACTTCTGAGAAATGTTTCCTTTCTCCTAAGAGAATAAAGAGATGTTGTCTCTCCTTTCTCAGGGCATTGTCTTGTCTGCAGAGGTCACCTGGAAATACAAAAGCCGCCTTGTCGTCAGCCTGAGGGGGATGGCAGAGCAGGAAGATGGTAAGAGTCTGCGTCTGTAATGTCATGGCTGGGCCACCGAAGCTGCTACTCAAACCCCTGTCCCATGAGAATTACAGTTAGCGCAGTTAATGCATTTCCTTATTGTTTAAAGTTATGTGAATCTGTCTCTGTGGCTTGAAGTCAAAAGCAATTTTAACTGAAACAATTTTCCATATGGTAAGTATGAATGAAATAAAACTTGATTTTAAAGTGATGGCCATAGAACCCAAAGAACATGTTCCTTGTGTCCCTGTTATGCACTAGGATTTGGAAAAGTGAAATACTGTATTTCCATGGTCATCTCCTTAAGCCCAAGGTTATTTCATTTATTTGACCATGGCACTCAGATGGTAGAGGCTAAATTCTTTTCCTGGAAGATTAAGAAAAAGCTGGTCATGAGCTATCCGAAGGAAAGTAAATAAAGTGGTAAGACACAGACAGGAAACTTTGTTTCCACTGGATCACGGACTCTGAGGAAAAGCCATGGAGAAGTACCTGAAGTTTTAAAAATTGAAGTACAATTAATTTTAGTTAAGTTTTGAAAAGCTGAAACATGTGCCACTGGCACATAAACAGAGAAATGAAACAGAATAGAAAATCAAGAAGTAGAACCAAATACCTCCTGGGATTTAACATTTGGTGAAGGTCTTGTTTCAAATCAGTGGGGAAAACCAGATGTTTTACCCATGGTGTTTGGACAACAGGGTAGCCAGTTATAATAATAAAGTTGAAGCCATAACTCACACCTTGCTAGAGGAGGTCCAGGTGGGTCGCGGGTTTTACATTAAAATATGAAAAGAAATATGAAAGATTTTCTTGTAATTTATTATTGAAGAAAAAAACCCTTTAAAATATGACACGAATTACAGCAGTCATAAAAGATTGAAAAATTCAACCATGATTTTAAAATGCCTGCATGCAGAAATAACCATAAGCAGAGTCAAAGTCAAAGGACAAATTAGCAACTGTATTTGCAACTCACTGCTACACAATCAATAAGAATAAGACCAACAACTCAATAGAAAAATGGTTAAATAAAGGATATTGTGTTAGGTGACATGGATCGACAATTTGTCAATATCAAAATTACAAATATATGTAATTTTTTATTCAGCAATTCTACTTATAGCAATTGTTTATAGTAATTCTATTACATAAATAGTAACAATTCTGTTAAATTACAGATATACTCCTATATGTGTAAATCACTTTCTGAATAAGGTTAATCACTGCAGCATTGTTTGCAGTATCAAAAAACTGGAAATAATGGAAATGAACATCAATGGGGGAGTGGTTAGACAATGATGCTACGTTAATATCATGGAATACTAATCATCATGAAAAGAGGCTGAGGAGCTCTTTGTGTACTGGTATACAGTCTTTTCTAATACACATTAAGACAAAAAAGCAAATTATTGAACAGAATAGTGAGTTACCATTTGTATATATAAAAGATGGTGGGGGTGTCTTACACAAATCCCCTTGCGTATTTCTGCAAGGTAAAGGAGGGGAGGAGGTCAGTGACCCTGAAGCCGGTGGAGGGGAAACTGGGTGGCTGGAGCATGTGGGTGGAAGGGAGACTTCACAGTATATAACTGTGTACCTTTTGACTTATGAACTCTGTAAATGTACTACCTGTTTCAATTCTAAAATAAATAAATTACACTTCGAGTCTTTGAAATAGAAATAGATAACCTATAATGCATTAAAAATGAAAACTGAAAATGAGGAACTGTAAATCAGATTAAATAAATACAGGGCACCCATAGTCAGCCTGAGGAGGGCCTAGCATCTCCACCATTTTCAGCTCCCTACCAATCTCATATAGACTGGGGCTGGATTTATCAGCCCTCAGCTCCCTCCCCACCACTCCCATTCTTCCTGCCCTAAGGTCTGGCTGCCTGCCTGGGATTCGCCTCTGTGCTTCTCTGTCTTCTTCACACCCAGGGCAGAGCACTGAGCTGAGGGCATCCTGTATTTCCCCAGTGGGCACAACCGATGGGTGCCATTGTTTGTCTGAAGGGTGGAAGGGTAGTTAAGATACTTAATTTTGGAAAATTAGACAAAAGCAGAGGAAAACAAAGCAGGTCAAGGTAGGAGTTTTCACCTGCAGAGTACTATACTTGGGCAGGTGAGAGACAATGATAGCAAATCAATAGACAGAAGGAGAACCACCCACTCATCACACTTTGGCTGAGTTTTCCTCTCCCCAGAGTTCTGTAGCGGATGCCTTATTAACATCAGAGGAGATATAAGGACATGTTATATTCAATCCTGACTATTGAAGTGAAAAGATAGAAAATGGGAAGTGTGGAGAATGAAAACCAATTGCATTCTTTAATTTTAGTCATCCCATTCCTGGAGCATATTGAATACTACTTTGGGTTCTTTCATTGTTCAGGTTATTAATAACAAAGAGCCAAAGTATCTCACATTTCTAAAGAGTCTTTCATCTCAAAGGAGCCAATATAACTACTAATTCAGTTACCTGAACTACATTTAGTAATTATTTGAGGATCACTTCACCCAGGGGTGAATTTCAATGAGTTGTGTGACACAGCCAACAGTCACTTCATTCTCCAGTCAGTGCAAAAGAAAAATGAATAGCTAATGGTGACGTCCTCCTGAAGGATTTACCCAGTGAAAACTTTAGGGAAATGGATGCTAAAAGAATGTAATTAACTGCCCAAAATTAGTACCTCCAATCTTACTCAAGGTTTCCTGACCTCTTTACTAGAGTCAGGGTGGAGAGGTATCTTATCTCAGAATGGGACTCTGTAGCAGCTGAGAGACCTGTGAAGAGCAGCCACTCCATTGCTATATATTTTTGAGTGATCATAAATGTAACTGTGTTTTTAATTTGTTTCCACATATTCACTGTGAGAATATAGAAATACAACTAATTTTTTGCATGTTGATCTTGTATCTGCAACCTTGCTGAACTTTAAAGATTCCTTTGGATTTCTGTGGAGAGCATAATGATATCTGCAAATAGAGGCAGTTTTAGTTTAATTTTATTGTTTATGTGTCTTTTTTTGCCTTATTGAGTTGGCTAGATCACAGTGGAATAACAGTGGTGAATGCTGACATCCTTGCAGACATCTTTACCTTGTACTTGATCTTAGGCGAGAACCATTCAGTCTTTCACAACTAAATATAATGTTAGCTGTAGGTTTTCTGTAGATGTACTTTATCAAATTGAGGAGGTTTCCTGCTATTCTTAGATTTCCGAGAGTTTTTTTTTAATCACGAATATGTGTTGAATTTTATCAAATGCTTTTTCTGCATTGGTTGAGACAATCACATGATTTTTTCCTGTTTATTAATATGGTGAGTTACACTGATTGATTTCTGAACACTGAACAAGACTTGCATCCTGTGAACAGCAGTCATTCCAATACTACCTCATTTTAAAGTTTATTTATAAGGACTAGTGTCTCAGTTGTTGACCCTGTTTTTTGGAGGGAGAGGTTTATGGGCTTAAGAAGCTAGAGCTCTTTCAGTCAAGGGTGTGTGGCTTGATCCACCTTACTGAGTCCAACAAGGCTCCTTTCTCCCTTCCATTTACTCTTGCTATCCAGACAGCAGGAAACTGGTGCCAGCATGAAGGTGTCCAATATCCATACAGCTGGTCATCAGACAGTGTAACATGGAATCTGGTCACTGCAAAAGCTTGTGTATTGGGGAGCATGCTCATTGGTCACCATTGTCCCAGAAAGAGTGACTTTCACTTCTCTTCTGCATGCCAGATAGCATATAAGTAAATTTTAATGGCAGAAGGTAAATTATATCTAAAATCCTAGCAGAAAAAGAGATGGGAAAATATGGTTTTAAGCCTTCCAGCCCTTATGATCCACAGGGGAGCACAGAGGTGGGAATGGATGCTGAGGGCCAAGAGACAATATTTAGCGTGTGGCTAAATATTGCCTCACTGACACTAATAGGAACCAGAGACCTTCCATCTACTCTTCATAATTACTTTCTAAATTTCTTCTCTTAATTTTTAACATCATATTTCCTCATTCATCATATTTCCCATCATCATTCAACAGCCCACTCAGAAGGATGTCTTTGCAGAGGTTGATTTGGAGTGGGAGAGAAGAGTGGAAAAAGAAAGAGGTAAGAAGCAATGTAAATAGAATATATTCTATTTTAGTGATCTATCTGAATGAGCTGTGTTTGTGTGTTGGAGATGTTTGAGAATGTGAGAAGGGAAGGCAGACAGAGCCTGACTATCCCCAGAAGAATCTAGGTTTTGGCAGCTGGGAGTGTTCAGAATGGGCACATATGTTGGTTGGAGAGAGTGTGCAGCATGAGCAATGGTTAAAGACAAAGGCTCCCGAGAGACCTGGGGCTCAGCAGTGAGACATGACCCCCATGAAGTGAGAGAAACAGACAGGCAGTGATCCTGCTCAGAGAAACAGCCCAGGACAAGCTGCAGCTTGATTGGTAAGGGAAAGTTGAAATCAAGCCATCTGGGAAAGAGGATTTAGATTTAGGGTCTGGAATTGCTCCAGGGAGTCTGGTCATGTGGGAACCAGCCCTCGGCCCTCAGCCATTCCTCAGCCCTCAAGTGTTTCTTATTTGAGGTGGCATAGTCTGCAGGGAAGCCTTCTACAATCAAAGCGCCCTGGTTGTATCATTTTTGGGGAATCTGAAGCTATTCCTATAATGAGTGGGTGTTCAGCCGGACAAAGGCTGATTTCCAAGGTCCCAAGATCCTTGTGATTTATCTCTTTGCCAGGGCCCAGGTGAGGTGTTCTCCTAAGAGACAGCTTGATTACAAGTCAAAGTGACAGGAAAGGTCCAGGACTTTCCTTTCTTAATTCTCAAGTGGGAACTTTTTCCCACGTAGAAGGCTCCTGGTCCCTTGGGTAAGTAAGGACACTGAGTCTGATGGGTCAGAGAGGAGGTCAAGGCTGTGGGAGGTGACGAGAATCACTGAGTGATGAGATACCTTCCCAGCAGGCGCTGCTCCCAGGTGCCTGCAGTCCCTATTTAACACTTCGGAGAGCAGCTGCACACCACTCTGTCTCATTAATTATTCTTCAGGGGCTTCGAGCACAGCATGAAGGCAGCAGGGGGCACTGATTTTATTCCTGTGCGGATCAGGGTGTTTGGCACTGGTTGGTGGCCCCAGACTGCTTCCCTAGGCTGGTCTATAGGTGTGGGATATTGGGCTCAAGAAGGATCCAACTGTCATAACCAGATTCATTGGCAATGTTGGAAAAATATAATCTCAGGAGCAGAGGTACACCCCAGTGCCCTCACCTATGAAGAACTAAACATTTTTCTATGCCAGTGATTTACAAATTATTTTAGCCTTTAAATTCTTCTTTTTCCTCCAAGTGAAATCTTACTTGGAAATTCAATACAAAAATCAGAAGAGGAGCTGTTCTGATTGAATATTGGTGGAGTTCAGATATCCATGTATTTACCCCCTTACTTCTTTGAACTACTTCCGAAAACATTTTCAGGGTTTCAATAAACAGAATTTTAAAGCTACTATACTCTGTGTTCTTTAAAGCTGGTAAGTACTCTTACTCAATTTTAAAGAAGAAGAAACTGAGGCACGAAGGGGCTAAGAACTTCCTTTGCTAAGACCATGCCAGGAGTTTGTTTTAGTCAGGAACTGTACTTGGCGTCTGACCATGGGTTTTAGTAATTCAGGGCTTTATTTTCGTCTTATCTAATAAGGAAGTAAGGGCTGATGGGTGGGGCCATGAGGTTTTTGGGTGCCTGAGCCCTTTACAGCTCACCATTCCACAGTCCTTAGGCTGCCTCCTCATCCCATGCTTATAGTATAGTTTCTAGAGCTCCAGCCATTTGATCTGCATCTGGAAGATACAGACAGAGGGACAGAAGTCAGCCGATCCTGAGCTGTCCTGCCAGCTGGGTACCAGTCCCTTTTTATTTTTTATTTTTTAATTTTAATTAATTTATTTTTTATTAAGGTGTCATTGATATACAATTTTTATGCTCAGGTTTCACATGAGCAACCTTGTGGCTACTACACTCCCCCCTATTATCAAGTCCCCTATTATCAATACCCCATTATATTCACTGTCCATCAGCGTAGTAAGATGCTATAAAGTCACTACTTGTCTTCTCTGTGCTATACTGCCTTCCCCATGCCCCCCTGTATTATGTGCGCTAATCATAATACTCCTTAATCCCCTTATCCCTCCCTTCCCACCCACCCTCCCCAACCCCTTTCCCTTTGGTAACTGCTAGTGCATTCTTGGGTTCTGTGAGTCTGCTTCTGTTTTGTTCCTTCAGTTTTTGCTTTGTTGTTATACTCCACAGATGAGGGATATCATTTGGTACTTGTCTTTCTCTACCTGGCTTATTTCACTGAGCATACTACTGGGTCAGTCCCTTTTAAGGGAATTTTCTGGAAAGCCTGATATCTTTTACTTACATCTTACATAAATTGTAAAAAAAATGTAAGCTGGGAATACTGTCACTCTGTCAATCCAATCCAATAGAGGACTTCTGCCTGTGAGGAAGGGAAGAATTGATATTGGGTGGGTAACTTATGTTCTGCCAGGTCCATGATGCCCATACCCTTTAAGTGACGATGTGTCCTGGATTTTAGAGGAAGAAACTGAGGCATGAAGGGGCTAAGCAGTTCCTTGCTAAGACCATGCCAGGAGTGTGAATGCAAATGTTTAATGCAAGTTTAAATGCAGATAAAAATGCCACCATGCGCATCACATTCTGATGTAATCTTCACAACAACCATGTGGTGTGGGCATTTATCATGGAATTCTCTTGCTTTTGTTTGGAGAGCCTACCTAATACCTCTTCCCCAATTGCAAATCATCTGCCTGTTCTCCTAATAAACCCACAAAGTCAATATTTCAGCACCTAAATGAATGTTTTTCCTATTCAGAAGAGGCTCAAATAGCCTTTGCCAATTCCATTTGTCCTGAATTTTATTTTAGAAAATGAAGTGTTCATAAAATAACCTAATTTGCTATTTACTCAAATTGCTTGACACATGTAATATTTAAAAATATTCTACTTATTCTGAATTCTCTTCTGGTGGCAGATGGGAATGTATAGGTTAGAGATATGTGGGGTTTGTGACCAAAAGTCAGAGAGAGATTATCCTTCACGGCACAGTGATCTCCACCATTGACCCTTTACCACACAAGGGTCTTTACTAGGTTCTCAGTGAAGCATTGTCGTGGCCCGTGTGCTTTCCTGTCCACCTGTCACAGATGATGGGTCAGTATGGGTGCGTGGTGAGCCGCCACTGCCTGTGGTGTGAGGAGGACAAATAGTGGCCATGGACTAGAAGCATCTGGACTCAGCTCCACCTCTTACCAGGGGCATGACCACGACCATTAGACAAACCACTTCCTTACTTCAGGCTGTGGCTCCCTCTGTGGTAAAAAGAGGGGATTGGACTAGATGAGCTCTTCCAAGTCAAACACTCTGATACTGTATCTCCTGCTCCTGCCTGCCTTCCTTTGCCCTCACTTGGATTGGAATGTGACATACAAATGCTGCCAGTCACTGTGCAAAGACTCTTCAAAGTCATCTGTCCTTCTTCTTCTATTAAGAAGAATTGTGATAAAAACCAGCCTGTTTTCTTTAAGTTTTACTGAAGATTTGCTTTCCAGACTCTAGATTTTCCTAATGTAGGTCTTTTAACTAAAATGCCCATTTGCTCTTGCCCTATTGATTGTATGGTTTTGTCTGGCTGTTCATAGGAAAACCAGACAAAATCAAAGTTGTGATGGGGTGAAGAGCATTTTCTAAATGAAGATATGGGATCCAGATTGCTCATTGTCTATTCATGAATTCACTTATTAGCTCAGTCAGTCAGAAAACCTGGGCACCTGCTATGTGCAAGTCACTGCACAGAAAATATGGGCTCCCACACTGACCTGATCTGTAGTGCAGATAAAAATGCCACCATGTGCATCACATTCTTATTTAATCTTCACAACAAACATGTGGTATAGGCATTTATCATGGAATTCTCTTGCTTTTGTTTGGAGAGGCTACCTAATACCTCTTCCCCAATCACTTATTCACCCCATACTGGGGACACCTACTATGTGCTAGGCACTAGGGATATGACTGAATGAGGCAGAAAGTGTTTATCTTACAGGCCTGTCAACTTGTAAATCATAGTGTCCTGTCTACACCCAAGTACATGACCCAAGCCTAGCCCATCATTAAACTTCATGTCTTTTTTGACAGTTCTGGGCTGGGGGTTGGGAGCATGACCCAAGTAGGGGCAGCTACAATCATTATATACCAAATGATCCAATTCTGGTTGCTGGAAATGAGAGGGCTTCTTTGTATTCATTTGAACTCTAGGTTTAGATGAGTGTGGTACACATCCCATTATGTAATAGTTTCCAGTTTCATCAGTGAATAAAGTCTGCTTTTGCTAAGCTATTAGTTTGAACCATGTAAATCTGCCATTTTTGTGGATTGGATGTCAACAATGTCATCTGCCTTAGCTTAACTGCTGCCTGCAATTGGAAGGGTCCTGACTAATATGGTAGTATTCTCCTCTGCAACTGAGATGAGGAAGAGGAGGCTAGGAGTGTTAATGGACCCAAGGTCGTTCAGCTGTTGAGCACAGCAAGATCTAATACGCAGGTGGCTTCAAGTCCATATTGTTGATTACTCTGGTACAAGTGCCATGAAGTCAGACAAGGACTGCTACTCATGGGGTGGTCCACAGGCAGTTGCCGGTCAGGTCCATGAGGAGAGAAGTATTGAACCAGTATGTTCAAATTCAAACCAAGTATGTCATTAAGCACATTCTTTACAGTTCAGCTGTCATTTTTTTTAATAGCAACACTTTCTCACTGAAGTAAGCAGTGCATTGATTTAGATTCTGGCGCAGGCTCCTTACCCACCCTGGACCGACATTGGACTGTTTTGCAGGCTGGCACTTAGAGGGGCCCTGATAAGGGGGATGCTTGGGTTTGCTGCCCAGCTGACAACTGACCTCCAGTCTCTGGGGGCTTCCACAGGAGCTGCGTCTATACCACGGGACCCTGACCCCCTCTTCTGATAGTCATAACTGATTTGTTGAGGTCATTTGTTTGAACCAATCTGGGCCAACCAGGTTTTCTTGTCTAAGAATA